TCCTTGAAAACTCACTCTTCTCTGACCTTCAGCCTGCTTCCAGGTATAATACTCTTTCCCTGCTTCCCTCATGAGGATGAACTGATGGGTGGGAAAAAACACTTTGTAAACTGTAAAGGAACATAAAGGGATATCGTGATAAAGTAAGTTTCTTATAAGAAATCAACCAAGAGTATTTATTGTGCAGCTGTATAAAGAAAGAAATTACTTCAGTCTGGGTTGATCAGAGTTGGAATTATTCTTGGGGCAGAGTTTGAAGAATGTGTATGATTTCTCGAAGTGAATGCATGGAATCAACACTTCAGACAGAGAGAGAGTGTGATATGTATTCAGAGAGGAATTGGGAATTGCCGTTTATTGAGCATGTACTATGTGCCTGGTGGGTCTTGGGGTGTCTGTGTGGGGGTTCTATCTACTTTAATGACCATTAGTTTTTCTCATTTTTCAGATTGGGGCTATAAAACCTACTCAAAGAGTGTAAGCATTAGAAATAACCTGTGTACTTACAGTTACGCTGTTTTTATTGAGATTTCTCCAACACTGAAAGACAGATGTCCCCAGTGGGCACATGGCCTGTTCTTTGTTCTTTGTCCTTCACTGCACTGCAGTGTGTGTGTGTCCCGCCATGGAGGGAACCAGAAAGAGACTCTGATGCTTGTAATTACACTCCTATCTGGATTATTTCAGCTCTTTTTTTCTCCCCTCAAAATGCTTTCCTCTTTTAATCCACCTGAATTCCAGTGTAGGTTAATCATCCTGAAACCTCGCTTTGATGGTGTTACATCTGCATCCAAGAACTTTCAAGGACCTATTTTCCCCTAACATTTACTGAACACTTACATCTTGTGCCAATCCCAGTGCTGTATTCTCATTCTTATTTTAAGCCTCATGGCAACCTTGAAGGATAGACATTGTTATGATCCCCATTTTACAAATAATGGAAACCGAGACTTGGAGAGACTAGAAAATCACCCCACGTCTCACAGGTGACAAGCAGAGGAGGCTGGATATACACTCCCTTTCGACTCTGGGCCTCATGTCTGACCTCTGACCCAACAGTGTGCTACTGAGTTGGGCATTCAAGGCTTTCCAAACGTGGAGCCAAGCTCCTTCCAGTCTTCTCTTCTGGTGTGCTTCACACTTGAACCAGTGTGACTTAAGGCTATTCCGAAGGGCGAAAGCAAGGCATTTGCAGTGAATCTGGGCTCTGTTATTTCTTTTTTTGCAATTTTTTAACATTTTTAAATTGAGTTATAGTCATTTATGGGCTCTTTTATTTCTTAGTGGAATTATGATAGCCGAAGTCTTCTGAACCCTATTTCCTCATGAAAAGAGTTGAAAATAGATAGCTAGGGGTGAAGTTCTGATGGAGAAATTAGAAGTGCACTTCCAGTACATTTTGTGGTACAAAAAAATGAGAGATGGAGGTGAAAAGGACTGTTGTAATGTTTTTGTTAGTTTTAAAGTAGGGAGGGTCTGAACCTGCTTACAGGTAAGAGGACAGGAGGTACTGAGGAGCAAGGATGTAAGAAATGAATGGAATGGGGGAAGAGAGTGGGGAGGGGGTGGAACGGAAGGAGGGACATAATTAATGCCTGGTTCTCCTTTGTGATTTAATTAATGAGAGCCTTTTACAGGCACTTGCCTGAATTAAAGATTGAATGATAACGAAGCCATACTTCAGTGAATATTTTTTGAAAAAAATTGACTTGTCTTCCTTTTTTTTTAACTTTTTTTATTGAGTTATAGTCATTTTACAGTGTTGTGTCAAATTCCAGTGTAGAGCACAATTTTTCAGTTATACATGAACATACATATATTCATTGTCACATTTTTTTCTCTGTGAGCTACTGACTTATTTTCCTCTTAAGAAGCATTGTAAATGTCTAAATAATTACTGTAAATGATTAATCTTTGAGATTAATTATATCCAGACTCTGTCCTAAGAGCTTTACATTTAATCTACACAATATTCCTAAGCAGTCAGTACCTTTATCGTTCCATTTTACAGGTGAGAGGATTGAGGTATGGAGAAATGAAGTCATTTGCTAGGGTTACACGCTTAGTAGGTGGAGGAGCCAGGATATGAACAGAGGCAATTTGACTTGGAAGCTGGCATTTTTAATCACTATGATAAACTGTGTCCCAATTTGATTTCCTCAAGTAACACTTGATACTAGCCCAAGGCATATTTTTGTCTGTTTTATGTCAGGGAAGGAAGACCGTATCTCAGGAAGGTATTTCCAAAGAGACAGAGACCATGTTTGGAGGAAGGCCTTGTTAAGGAGAGTTATTCTCCTCCTCCCAGCAAGAGGAGAGCAGCCTTCTGGACAGCGCTGCCCCAGCAGACCTTGCACCTGCAGACCCTGCTAGATAGCTGAGCAAAGAACACGACTTCTAGGACTGTGCAGGTTAATCAATATGGTGTGAAAAAGAAAAGCACATGCGGCTTCCCATTGCCTGAAAATAGCACGTGTCAACAGCTCTCTTCCAAGATGCAGAAACCAACCTAGAGCAGCTGCTCTCTGTGGCGGCATTAAGTGTTGTGAAGACACCTGTGTGTGTCTAATTCCAGCCCAAACAAGTCTCCTTCCGGCTCATCAGAATGGGGACAGAATTTACCTAAATGGAGATAATTATTTCCAGTAGAGTGATTTGTCTATCATTCCCCGTAGAGATTCCTCCCCCACCACCCTTTTTTAAAAAATGGAGGCATAATTTACATACAGTAAAATATATGCACATTAAGTGTTCAGTTTCACGAATTTTGACAATTTTTATACCCATGCAACCACCAGCCAAAACTAGAAAATCCCCTGTATGTCCCTTTCCAGTCATGACCCTGCCGTCTGGAGGGGACCACATTCTGACCTCTATTCTGATGCATTAGCCTTGCCTGTGCTTGTGTTTTATATCAGTGAAAGCACTCAGAGATACTCTGCTGTGTCTGCATCGTGATATATTCTTACACTCCTCGACAATAAACAAGAACGAACAATGACACGCAACGGCACCAATGAGTCGTCTTTAGAGTTGCGTGTTGAAGTTTGCAGGGTTCATGTGCTTCGTGCTACCTTCGTATTCCTAGTAACCAAAGTGACCCACACAATGGGCTTCTGGCCTATCACAGTGTGCACTTGCTGCCTTCATGTTTTCTCCCTCTAATCTCTTATAATAAAATCTCATCTTGAGAAGATAGTCAATTAATATTCAACTTATAGGCTATCACAATAATGATTTCTTTAAAGGAATTTAAAATTGTGGAATTAAAAAAATTTTTTAAGGAATTAAAAAAATTTTTAATGGAATTTATAATCTCTTTTTAAAAAAGAAATATGTTAGACATGTTACATGGTGTCTTTTTAGCACTTTCAAATGTCAGGGGAGTAAAGGGGTAATAGAAGGAAGGAAGCCGACCCAGTCTCTCCTGGTTGGCCGTCCAGTGGGCCCAGGATGTTCATTTTGTGACTATGACATGCTGTGTGCTGTGCACTTTTCATTGTCATGAGAGAGAACGTTAGGAAAACTATCCCCACAAGAAAACAGCTTTTCTTGGCAAGTGAAATATGACTTAAGGAGCCAGAACTGGAGACATACGGTACTATGAATGAGAGCTGTGTTACTTTATTGGATCCGAGTCCAGGCACTATTTATACTGCAGCATATTCAGCACCAGATTGTTAAATCTTAATACTGAAACAGTGCATCATTTTAATATTTTTGTTCTGTTTATTCCCTGTTTTCAAGCATTATGTCAAGCATTGCGCATTCATTTATTTCATCTTGGACAGGACGTGCCCTGACCAGAAAGTTCATTTCCTATTATTGGAATTTCGCCCCATAACTATCAAGGCAGCGTTTTGTGAAGCTTTTAAAAGTTCACTTGGGTATACAGGTGATCTCTCTTTTTGATGATAAAATATATTTTTTGAAAGAACAGCATGATTGGACTCACCTGTTATTGTCAAAAATTAAAATAAAAATACTGTTTCTCTTCTATCAGTAAAACATAGCTGTTTTTGATGTGTGACAATTTCTGACATCCTAGGGACCATTGGATTTTTCATAGCATACAAATATAATTTTTGTTAGTCTGTGTCGTTTGTAAAATGGGTTTCTCTTTGTTTTTCTTCATCAATGTTATGTGTGCCCTATGCACCAAGTAAGATGGGTCCATCTTACGAATAACTTAGCATTTTCACCATGCGTTCCTGACGCTGTCCCACAAATCTGCCCAGGTTTGACTGGGGTTTTTAATTCTCTCTTCATCGTCATCCGTGTTTACCATATGTAGTAGGAAACCCACAGGGAAAGGGGTAGCTGCTACCGTAAACTGTAAAAAGAGCTGAGGAATTAAAAAAGAAAAATAAAAGGAAGTCAAAGGCATCTCTGCTATTTCTGATCTGTGGTCAATAATTGTGCCATTGGAAAACAAACCCCTCTGCAGGCTGAAACGTGAATCTGGAAGTGAATTCTAACTGCATCATCAGCTCCAAATGCTATTCTCACTGGGGATCGCACCACAGTTAGGATGAGTCCACACACAGGAATTTTCTTGTACAATTCGAACTCCAATCTTGTATTTACTTAAGGCTTGCTTCTTCTTCTTCTTCTTCTTCTTTTTCTTTCTTTCTTTCTTTTTTTTTTTTTTGTCTATGAAATCAGCAGTTTGGTATACTTAGCATCAGTCTTAAGTTAGAATGTGAAACAAGACTTTGGGGGAAGGAAGTATCCGTATGGTTTTCTAAGTAATTTAAGAAACAGGAAAACATAAAAAACCCTGATTGTCCGTGATTAAACCTCATCCTTTCATTCTCATCTTCCTGTATAGTTAATTCAGTTGTCAGCCAGAAAGAAATAGGTTATTGCACTGGGTTGTAAAATATCTCTGAGTGGGCCTTGAGTGTCGACTATTGGATGACCTTCTTAACATTGAACAAACATGGGAAGGTTTAATAAATAGCAGATACGTGTTTATTATGTTTTTCTTCCCTGTGCAGGAATAATCAAGCTGGGGCGGTGGAACCCTCTCCCCCTCAGTTATGTGACAGATGCACCCGACGCGACAGTGGCCGACATGCTGCAAGATGTCTATCACGTTGTGACGCTGAAAATCCAATTACAAAGGTGGGTGTCTCTGAACATCTGCCCTTCCTCACTCTCAGAGCTGCAGAGATCAGCTCATCCTGTCTTTGTCAATTTCTAGACATTGGATGAAATGGGGGGAAAAAAGAAGAAAAAGAGGGAAGGAGGGGCACCAGGCATCTTTATAGTCCACATTCCAACTGTTTTATGTTTTGTTTTCAGAAGCAGTGAAGTGGTAACCTAGAGGAAGCTTGATAAATCATTAAAAATCTGCAGCCCTTAAAGGGGAACTTTCCACAGCCCCTGGTTTAATGAGTCCCCTGGTTAAAAGCTTAGCACATAGTATTTGAAGAATAAACACCCCTGCCGTTTCAAGCTTGTGTTGTGAGGGGCGAGTTTGGTGCCCCTGGAGCAGGCTTACCAAGAAGGCACTGGTGCTGGACGTCTTCCGCTTTCCTCTCTGGTGGCCTGCAGAAGTTCTGGGAATGACTTCTTTTTTTCAGATACAACATCCAGAACAAGTTGTGCCTCTAAAGAATCTAAAGTTTCTCTGCAGAGTCTTGTATTGCCAAGTGCCTGCAAGTCATGTGGTTCAAGGAATGTTGTCCTTTACTGTAAAGGTTTTGAATTTGCCCCTTTTGGAGAATTTACACTTTAAATAGGAACCCAACATTCTCGTCTTTGTCTGGGATGCTTTAATGTCTCCTCTTTAGTTATGTTTTGGTTAAGAAAGTCACATCTCTGGATTGTTCTATGAGGGTGAAAGCTAGTATGCCTTCAAAACTGATGAAGCATTTGTTTACATTTAACCGTAGGAATATTCAGTGATTTAATTTGTATTGTGGAAGTTGATAATCATACTGCCATACCATTTCCGTCAGGTGATTAGAGAAACCGTGTTTTTAAAAATCAGCTCTTCTTCATATCTGAAGTGACTGTTTCTCTTAGTCTAGCATGATAACTACCTTAAAGAGACTGGAAGGGGCTCTGTCGAGGACTTAGAGAAGCGGTGTTGCTCTCCTTCCCTCGTTTTGGGCCCACGTGTGACCCATTCCTTGGCAGTTCTCCTGATGCTGGCACAGGACCGAGGGAGACTGCTGCACGTGGCATTATTAAAGTTTGCACATCGTTCATTCTTGCTTTGTTTTCCAGTTGTTCGAAGTTGGAAGACTTGCCTGCGGAGCAGTGGAACCATGCCACGGTCCGCAATGCCTTAAAGGAACTGCTCAAAGAGATGAACCAGAGCACATTAGCCAAAGAATGCCCTCTCTCCCAGGTCAGTGTCTTCCGGGGAAACGGGGAAGCCACGGGTGTGCTGTCTGGCAGGAGGGGCAGTCCTGCTCAGACAACTCTCTTATTTACAGTCACACTACATTTTAGGTGGAAAAAACTATGGAGATTGTGGTGCTTTCTGTTGTAGAGTAGAACTCATCACTTAGTGAGAGGTCGGATGTAGTAGGAGTCATGTTAAAACATTTTACACTCACAGTCTTCAGCTTCTAACATACGTCATAGGAAGTCGGTATCAGTGTCTCCATTTTATGGATCAGGAAAACAAGGTTGAGAGAAACGCTCTACCTGCCTAAGCTTACTCAGCTGGTCAAGTGATGGGTTGAGACCCTAATCCAGACTTCCTCTGCTAAAGCTCAGGCTCCAGTTAGTACGTGACTTGGCCGATGAAATGAGTCAGCCATGCCAAACCCATCTTAATTTATTTTATTTATTTACTGAGCCTCTTCTGGGTCTAGTAGAGAGGTGATCTTTGCATCATACACATTCGGAGAGATTGTGTAGTGTATTTACCATGTGAAAACGCATCACGAGAAAAATGATTGTCCGTTTTTACTGAGCTGATCATCAACTAAAACAAGCCACAACAGGAGACTGAGAGGATCAAAGGGAGGAGCGGCAGAAGAAGAAAGGGCTTCCGTTTCCATTTGTGTTCCCGAGTGAGGGCCCCACTGTTTCAAATGGTAAGACAATATTTTGGTGGCTATAGGCAGTGGCTTAGAAGTGCAGTGAAATGAACTCAGGTTGACATTATTTAAAGCCATGGGTGAAAATTCATTTCTGGTGTGAGTTGCTGCACTTGATTTAAGATAATAGACTAATTGCATGTCTATCAAGTTCAAAGGAAGGTGACAAGAACCATAGAAACTTGATGTGTTCTGAGCTATGTTCTAGGCTAACAGAGTCTTTGGGGGAAGCAGGGAGCTTTGTGATTGTGGAATCAGCTAGATCTGGGTTCACGTCCTGGCTCCTAAGCCACTAGGACCTCATCTTTATATGTAAAACCAGGAGAGTGATAGTTCTAAGTCATCTAATGAGGAGTAATGAGATAAATCACATAGACCCTTGGCCTGGTACCTGGCATACAGTGTTGCTCCATATGGTACCAGCCGTTGTTATCAAGACATGGTGTTGTTGGTGTGAACTGGATGTTTCTTATGTGTGTCTTCGAGAGTGTTTTGGAATGTAGATCCTCTGAGGGGAGGCAGAGCCTACTGTTAATATTTTTGCTTCCAAGAAATCAAGAAGTCATGCACCTGAGTGGTAGGGAGTAGACAGCAAGACACACTAGTATTTCTTGCCTATCAGTTACAACTCTGCTCTTGGGGCTTAACACTTTCACACAGGCCATTTCAGTGCCTGCCTGTGGGTGTGTACCTGGGGGCTAAAACTTGTTGCTAGAATTTTGATTTATTCCAATGTGACTGCTTATGAAGTTCTAAAAATAAGTATTTTGAATTATCTTGATGATATATGGGGACTGGATAAAGAACAATTTAGGAAAAAAATTCAATTTGTCTTAAATGTTACAATTAGTCACAATTAATTTTCTCTTGGATTCACATGGAAGTCTAAATGGGCTTTGTCTGGAAGTGGATGAGTCCTAACTTCACATCCCCAAATCAGAATTTTGTCCAGGGCTTTTGAGGTCTGTGGGAACTTGGTCAGAATTGATCTCTCACGATTATTAGGGTTGGTTATGACTATCAAACGTGACCTAGAGAGACATCCTAGCAGAAAGAACCCACATTAGGAGCTGAGAGCCCTGAGCTCTGCTCTCAGTCCCTTTATGTGGGATATGTGGTCCTGGGCAAGCCCATCCCCTCTCAGAGCCTCTTTAAACTTGTCTGTCAGCTCAGCACCATTGTATCTACATATTTCACAGAATTTGCAAAGTTGTCTTGAGGTTCAAATGAGAGCATCTTTACCCTTCCGTAAAAGTCCTCTTTGCTTCCCCATTTTCTGTTCTCGTTGCTTGTCCACCTAGTTGCCCGAGCTAAAATGTTTCTTCTCTGTCACTCTCATATTTGGTCCTGTGGACTCTACCACCTCCGTATCTAAAATCTTCCTCTTTTGTGCTGTTGCCTTGTTTAGACTTTCATCACCTCTCTCATGAAATATTTTAAGTCATTCTACATCATAATCTTTCCCCTGCCACCTGCTTCTCCATCGCTAACATCGTGCCATTTCCTTGTCTCCAAGCCTCCAGTGACTCCTTCTGCTCAGCCTGTAGGAAGTACAGACTGCCTATGGGAACCAGCAAGATGACCCTGTCCTGCCTGATTTCCTATCAGTCACCTTCCTCCCTCAAGCTACATCCACTCTGTACTCCAGACACATGGAATTAATTATTTTGAAACATTTGCTGTTGCTTAAACTTTACCACAATATTCCTAATTACAACCTAACTAGTACCCTTTGCATTACAAGCCTAACAAAGCAACTTCTTGTGTAATTTTTAAAAATCATGTGAAGTATGTATTCTATTCCATATACTTGTGCTTTGGGTACTTTTAAAAATCTGTACAAATCACTGTACCTGTTCAATTATTAACCTTCCCTGTCCATGTAAGACTGGCCCTCAAGGGAGGTGTACCATGTTAATCTCTGGCTTTGGTGGCCCCTGCACACAATGCTGCCGGCCTCGGAGCCTTCCAGTTGGACACTAGTCTGCTTTTGCTGTGTGGTTGCTCCTGGCCAGCATGCATTGCCCTCTTCTACTGGATGAAATCTTCCTGCAAATTTCAGCTGGAAAGTCACTGCTGATGACGAACCCTGACATTCTGGCAAACGTAGTTGCTTCCCCTGCTCTTGGTAGCCTTTGTTACACATCCCTGTCACAGCACTTATCACAGCCTGTTGTGTTATCTGCCCGTTCTCATCACTTAAGGGACTGCTCACAATAGCAGAGTCCATCTCTTATCTCTTACCCTCTTGTCCTCAGCATTCAGCACGATGTATATCTTGCATGTAGTTGTCACTCTAATGCAACAGTTCTAAACTTTGGCCCTATTGCCCTTTTGGGCAAGATGTTCTTTGTGGATGGGGGTCTGTCCTCTGTGGGGTTTTTAGCAGCATCCCTGGCCTCTACCCTCTAGATGCTGGTAGCATGCCATCTCCCCATTCTCCCCATGACAACCAGAATGTCTCCAGACATTGCCAAGTGTCCTGTGAGGGGAAGAAAATCACTCTTGGTTGACAAGCACTGCTTTAATGTATTTAGTCAATTAAATGTAAAAAAATTTTAGAAAGTGCTATGAAATGTAAAGTTTTATTATTTTTACAGTGTCCTTGGCAGCTCTAAAATGTTTTAAACTAGAAACAGTGAGTACAGTTTTGATGGTTGATGCCCAATATATTTTCAGTCAAACCGGGGTTCAGTTCTATTGCTTAGATTTGAGGAGGATTTGATTTAGGCTTTTGGTATGCTGGGTGATTATGGAAAAATCTCACTGGGGTAGTCTTTCTCAGCCAGCATGGACATGTAGTGGGGCAGCGGCCTTAATCATGTGGCTACTACCTTAAACATTCCAGATTATTCACTTACACTGCACGGCTGGATTGCATTTCAGTGTGGAGATCAGCTCACTCATCTTGGTGGTGGTTGTCATAGAACAGGTGCGTACATTTTTTTTTGAAGATCAACCTATGTAGTGTCAAAAAGAATGAATTTTTGTTCTAACAAGGAGAAACTGTAACTAAAAAATGTATTTCACCAGCATTACAGAGTCCCAGTTAAGAGACAGGTACCTTACAATGGGCTGGGGCACAGTGGTGAGGATGAGAGAGCGAGTTAAGCTTTTGGTCCAGGAAGTAGAGAATGGAGCACCCAATGCTACTCACCTCAAAGGAGAATGGTAGATTGTTGAGCTATTTAAAATAGGTTCAGTTCATGAGTAAAAGATTTCTGTTTTTAAAATAATTCTCCCTTATTACCCTGAAGCCAAACCATATTAGCTATTTCCTCACTCAAGTTTGGCAGTTGCATAAAGGAATGATTCAGTGGCTAGTGTATATTTTCTTGACCAGCCCAGTGGTCTACATTTCAAAAGAGCAGCCTTGAAGGCAGAAGAAAAGAGTGGAAAAGTCCATAAAAGGGCAACAATTGTAGGCTGAGGCGTATGTATTTAAAGGGAGGCAAGTCATGATTTAGCTGTTCTCTGTCTGGCCAGATGCTTGGAAAGTGTAGGTTGTATTTGTGTGTCTGTGTATTTATTTTTGATTTCACCTTTCAAAATGTGTTTAAGTGCTGACAGCCTCTTCCTTTTCCTCCGATGTCCCCCTGAGTCACCACTCCCTCCTCTTCCCTCAGCCACATAGTCTGTCCCAAGTGTCCTAATTTACCATACCTTAGGCACAGGTCTCTCTTAGTAAATGGTCTTCTCTAACTGTTCTAATTTGAAAACGTTATGAATACATCTTTCTGTGGCTTCCTTACTTTTTACTCGAGGAAGAGTTAGAAGACAAAACCCCAGGTCCTCATGGTTTCACTCTATTAACATAAGAGGAGCTAACAATACCAACCTTGACCACCTCCTCTGTTATTATGATGATCAAATGGAGTGATGATTTGCAAATGCAGGAATTTTCCAATGATCCCGTTTCCCCCTTCCAACATTATCTCTGTGAATGGAGACATGCTAAAAATTTTTTGTGTGTGGTAAAAATACATAAAATGAAATTTATCATTTTAACAATTTTTAAGTTTACAGTTTTTGAGTTTACAATTTAGTGGCACTAATTACATTCACAATGTTGTGCAGCCATCACCTCTATCTATTTCCAAAACTTTTTATCACCCCAAACAGAAAATCTCTAACCATTAGGCAATAATTACCCATTATTCTCTCCCCCAACAGTCCCTGGTAACCTCTATTCTGTTCCCCGTCTCTATGAATTTGCTTATTCTAGATATCTCATAAGAGAAGAATCAGAATATTTGTCCTTTTTTACTGGCTTAATTCTCTTAGCATTTAGATATGTTTT